TACATAGACAGATCGATAGATCGATAGATAGATGATAGTCTCTAGATCGATCGCTAGATCGATAGATAGATAGATCGATAGATTGATAGATTCGATAGCTAGATGGCATTAGCTAGATAGATAGATAGATAGATCGATAGATAGATAGATAGATAGATAGATAGATAGATAGATAGATAGATAGATAGATAGATAGATAGATAGATAGATAGATAGATAGATAGATAGATAGATAGATAGATAGATAGATAGATAGATAGATAGATAGATATATATATATATATATATATATATATATATATATATATAGACAGATGTACATACAGATGTATATATATATATATATATACGTTCCATATTATTCTATGGTAGCTTCTGCCAGTACAGAGCTCCTGTAAGATCGTGGTGAAGATACTTTGTGAGTAAATCACGTGTATGATGACCACGCATATATGTACAAATGAAGTATACTTGCATGTGTACGTACATACACTATACTTGCAAATACACACACCTGCAATAACTTAGGTGAGTACAGCCCAACTATATACACACACATGACATACTTGCATATATATACATCTGTAATATCTTTGGTGATCACAAAGCATATACATATGACATACTTGCGACATATACCTACATGCATATAAAACAGAGTACACATGTAATATGTTTGAGTGAGTACAAACATGTATACACATACATATATAATACAATGAACCCTTCGCGTGATTTATTCATGCTTCTGCAATACTGGGCTCCACTCGGAGCTTGTGGTCAAGACATCTAAACAAGAAAATCACACCCAAAATGGCTATCCCACATTTAAGCACAGACATGTATCATCAGAAATATATATATATATATATATATATATATATACGTAAAGTGAGAAGCCTGATTTTCTGACAGCGTCGGCAGTATAGAGTTCTCCATGGTTTTGATCAGAGTATCCAATGAGTTGAGTCGACAACCTGTGCATTGACCTTCACGCATACACACACACCTACCATACGACAACGCGAAACAGACATAAAACCACATACAGACAGATAGATAGATACACCATTATACCTTCCAACGATCCAGGGTAGCTTCTGCAGTATAAAGTTTTTCTCTGTGCTTGTGATCAGGATACCCAATGAGTACGTCACATTACCAACCACAGCCAGGAGAAACATCGTGAACGCCAGTCCTCCGGTAGACCGTCGCTTAATCTGTGGACACCCAGTCGGAAGATATGAACAGACATTTATAAGACAAGACAAGACAGACAA